TTCCCTACATTAACCCTTAAAACTAGAGAATCGATTTGTTTAATAGCAATTTAGAGCAAAACATCCCTAAACTAATCAGAACTTGAGAAACAAGTTTTAAATACTGTGTTTTCAGCTATAAAAGGACTTCTAAGTTATTTAATCGTTAAATATTTGTGTTACATTTGTTCTGTTCAAACTAAATCAATCCTCTCAATACTTAGGGATATGAAAGATTTACATTTGTTTTTATTGAAACGCTGAAGTGTTTCGGTTTCCAATTTAGTCACAGGGGCTGAAACATTTGCTCTTCACCGGTCAGTCCTAATCCCATGGGAAGCCCTAAAACCATAAATCACTAGTCAGAACTTTGTGTCAACACTATAAGAAAATCTTATATGTAATCCTGTACACCGACCGAGCATAACATTATGACAACCTGTACATCTGTATGCAACACTTCTGCCTTAACATTTGTGTTTATGAAGCTGAAAATGTTTCAATTTTTGGTGAGACTGTCATAAATGTATAAATTCAATTATATGTTCATTATTAAGGTCATAGTTAAAGGTTGTGTACTTGACTACATTATATTCAGAGGTGTTCCTAATATTCTGAACCTCTCATGTATGTCAATGGGCAGGACAAAAATATAGACACCTCTGTATACATTGAATTGCATACAGATGTACAGGTGGTCATAATGTTATGCCTGATTGGTGTATATAATCCTATATATCCAATAATCCTACAAGAAAAATGAGGTGGAAAGTATCAGGTGTGAAGTCCTCTGATCGTTGAAAATGGGTAATAAAAATACCCAGGTGTGAAAGGAGGAGTCTCTCTCTCTCTCTCTCTCTCTCTCTCTCTCTCTCTCTCTCTCTCTCTCTCTCTCTCTCTCTCTCTCTCTCTCTCTCTCTCTCTCTCTCTATAATTGAGTTATTACAAAACCCCAATTGTTTAGTTACATGTATGATTGTAAAATAAAATTTGTGGTAAAATGTTTGATGTCATGAAACCGGATTAGTTTGCATTCCAATGGTAACCTAGCCACACAGGTTTCAAGCCAGTGACTTCTGTGCCGGTCCCAAGCCCGGATAAATAGAGAGGGTTGCGTCAGGAAGGGCATCCGACGTAAAAACAGGCCAAATTTAAACATGCGAATCATCAGTGTGAATTCCACACCAGATCGGTCGAAGCCCGGGTTAACAACAACCGTCACCAGTGCTGTTGACCTACAGGGTGCTGGCGAAAATCGCACTACTGTTGGTCATCATCATCATCAACTTTATTTATATAGCACATTTAACACAGCAACAGCTGATCAAAGTGCTTAACACAAAACACAATAATAAAACAAAATTACAATTAAACAACCACCCATCATAAAACAAAAATCCTCGGCAAAACAAAGCCTCATACCGGATCAAATGCCAAAAGGTACAGATGAGTTTTCAAATACACTTTAAAAATGGACAACGAGGGGGCCTGCCTAATATATAGGGGCAATGAATTCCACAACTTTGGAGCCCCCACAGCAAAAGCCCTGTCCCCCCTAAGTCTCCGCCTAGCCCTCAGTATCTCCAAGAGCAGCTGATCAGCTGATCTGAGGCACCGAGAGGGGCTATAGGGATGCAGCAATTCTGTAAGATAAGAGGGGGCCAGACCATTTAAAGACTTATAAACAAATAAAACAATCCTAAAATGGATTCTAAAATACACCGGCAACCAGTGAAAAGAAGCCAAAATGGGAGTCATATGCTCCCCTTTGCAGCCCCCAACCAGTAAACAAGCAGCCGCGTCTCTGAAGGCGGGCAAGGGACATCTGACTAAGCCCAAAATAGAGCGCATTACAATAATCCAGGCAAGACGTAATAAACACATGTATTGCTGTCTCAAAGTTCTGCCGCGAAAGAAAAGGCTTTACCTTTGCCAGCTGTCAAAGGTGAAAAAAAGCTAGCCCTTACAACCGTGTTCACTTGACCTTCCAATTTAAAATTGGAATCTATTTTGACACCCAAGCTTGTAACAGTCGACCGCACATACTGCTGCAAGCAACCTAGATCAACTGGGAGGAGAATCACCAAAATTATTTGGGCCAAACACTATAACCTCAGTTTTCGTATCATTTAATTTCAATAAATTCAAAGTCAGCCAGCTCTTATCATTAAAAC